CAGGAGTGAGTGGTAGGGATGGTGGGGATGGATGGTGGGTTAATGTAAGTGGAGCTGGAGCTGGTGGGGGGTGGGGTGTGTTGGGAAGGAGTGGAATATGAGTAAGAGGAGGGTGGATATATCGGCAGTCATTTTGTGTGGAGGGAGCAGGTGGATGTGAGTTTTGTGTCAATTTGGGACTCGAGCAGATAGATTCGAATATCTTCAAGAGTTTTTTCAATAGTTTTGGGAAGTTTTAAAAACCAAGGTTTTCTTATGAATCTGAGAGTTGCCACCTCAGACTCAATTTTTTAGGTGGGGGCAGCCCCAATAAAATACATTATGGGGGCCACTACAAATGGCTTGTCACTGTGCAGATCAGTTTGATCGATTATGACCAGGTTGTGCACATAGAGGGCATCAGGCTGTGGAACAGCAGTGTTTGCCTACTTGTTTTTTGCAGACATTGCTGGAAGAGGAGTGTGTTATCAGAGTTAGGAGCTAATGGGAGATCATGAAAAATCGGTCTGGGCTAAACTGGGTATTTAAGATACTTGTAGAGGTGGGGATAATAGAAGGATGGGGATGTGTGGAAGAAGTAGAGTTCAAAGAGTGTGTTGTGGAGAGGTTGACAATAAGGTTACACAATAATAAGGGAGGAAGGGGTAATTGGTGAAGAAAGTTGTTAGGGTAGAGGGGATGAAGAGGAGAATGTTGGGAGAGTAGGAATGTCTCCTGGAGGTTGAGAGCAGTGTTCAGTTATGGTCAAAGGAGAACTTAGGGGCATGGAACTGGGAGAATTTGAATCAGAGGGGCAATTTGATGAAGGAGCAAGCCTCATTCCCCCTAACATGGGTATAAAATCTTCATTACTGGCCATGGTAAGCCTAGAGTATGTTGGGGAGAGAAACTGTCTACTCCCTAAGGACTAGAAATAAACAGGGGAAAACCTGCCCATGGCTCCCTCAGACTGTTCAGGACTGGCACTAAGTCAGCCTTTTCTTCTTTAAAGTCAGCTCTCACACCATACGAAATGGATAGAAGAGAGAAGAGAGAGAAACAAAAAATGGAAGGGAAAAAGACTGTGCAAAATTAATTGTTGTGGACTTTGTTCCAAGGCAGGGGAGATACCCAGCATTTGGTCTTACTACTGTATTATTAAATGTCCCCATGGGGTGGGCTCTCTCCAGAACCAGCTCCCCCTGCACTATTCTGTATTACAAATGTGGGGCAGCTAATAGCACCCCACACTGTCCCGCAAAATGATAATTTAGAATATACTCATTTGAACACAAGCATTGTATCAAAATTATTATTGAATGCTACTTGATATATATAATGAAGATATGATATATCTGAGTTTTTGAATATATCTAATTGACATATAATGAAAATTAACCTCTTGCTGATGGGCCTTGTAGCAGACTCCCATGCCCAGTGTCTGCCCATTGCCAGAAATCTCTCAAGTTTAAAATTCTCAGTTATTTTTTTCACCCATCAGTTCTGCGTTAAATATATAAGCAGCTATTGAGAAAAAATAACTTGTACCCAAAAAGCATAACTTCTCCATCAGAAAGGTTCAATAAAACTCCTGTAATTTCTACAAACTAATATTTTATAACCCTTGCCAACTTTAAACAGTACTGAATAGAATACAATATAGGTTAGTAAGAACATGTTCCAGAGTCTGAAGTTTCACACAGTCTGCAGGTTCTTGGAAGTTCATCTTTGTAAAAATGAAGTCTTCTCAAAATTCACTCACAGAATAAATGCATGTGGGTGGGTTGTATAACCTACAGTTTCCCTTCAAAACAGACTTTGAGAACCTGAATCACATTAGAATAGATAAACAATTTTATTCAATAAATCAAGACACTACAGGTTTCTTTTTTCCATTTCACATGAATAATAAGTTATGCATAAGAAGTGGAAGTCACAAGCACCTATGAAATCAGAGAAAATATAAACTAAAGAGCAAAAAATAATTATAATAATGATAAAAATCTTACAAGGTGCTTTGGAATGTCAGATTGTACAATAAATACCTCACCCACCTTGCAGGACTCATTTGGAGTACTTTTATAATCAGTGTTATAAAAAATATACAATACATAAACCATTGCTTCCTAGAATGAAGCATAACAATATCATCCACTGCTGCTGCTGTTTCACACAAATTTGTTTTAAAATTTATTATCATCTTTCTATGCTTATCAGTACCAGATATTAGCCTTAAATTATATCCATATTTAAATAATATCTGGTTATATATAGTTGGTAATATCATGATCAAAGCAAAATCTCTATTATTCATCACACTTTTTTTTTTTGCAAGGAATGCCTGATGTTCACCCTTGTGGTGACTTACAAAATATACTGCATTAACTGACATCAACATCAAATCTAAAAATATACTTTTTGTTTTGCAAATTTCCATTTTCTTATAAAATACATTAAGGTATGAAATAAATATGTTAAAAAAAACACAAGAGATCCTATGCACGTGGATATAACAAAGGCAAAGAGGTGTTATTTCACTGAAAACAATATTTTTCTATAAAAGATCTCCAAAAGGGTACCAACAGGAATGGTATTTCTATGAATATGATAAGGTTCTCCAACTTCAATTATGCTGTAACACTGGACATAACTTTTTTTTAAATCTAAATACAGTACATTAAAATGTCAAGAAATATTAAAAATCAAAATACTTTTCAGTTGTAAAATAATTTTCACAGTATAGCCTTTGAGTTATATAGTGATAAAATATATGCTGAGGAAAGGACCGACATGGTGCTGGCATCAATGGCACGGAATTATTTATGGATATTTTTTCTGGCCCTGTTTTGATTTGAAGTGGGCAGTTTTAGGTAGAGTTCATAATCTTACTGTACAGATAAATGTTACTCTTGACTTAACAATTCACACAGGACAGCAGTGTCCGAGAACATCCTGGCTTCTGACACCAAGAAGAAACCCAGTACATTCTTGGACAACCATGTAATAAGTCTGATTTTCTTCTGAAATGGAATACAACTAATTTATACACTGTTCTTTTTTTTTTCTTTTTTTCTTTTTTTTGGCTGCTGGATCCTTTAAATGTTTGAGTATGTTGTAATGAAAATTTACATATTCTGTCTTTTGATATTGTGTGTGACACCCAACAACCACAAGCCTTTTGAACAGGAGCAACACATCTCACTTTCTTAAAAATTAGAAAAAAAGAGAATCACCAAAATATGAGTTGCCTTGCACATACATATTTTCAGAATGACAGTCTCCTTTTGGTTAAAAATTTGCTGTGAAGTCTCATACAGCTTATGACACTGACTGAAACAGAGGCAAGGCTTGTGGGATTGAACGTCAAACAGGTGATTGTCTTGACAGCACCATCCGAGAGTGAATGAATAATGAGCTGTAGATGGCAATGCTTGCAACAGCAGTAACAACAACAATGACAGTAAGGCCCATATTCTGATGTATCATGTACCTGTATCAGAAGCAGATTCCTCCGAATCTCTTTACGGCTAACAGTCTGATAAGTCTGTTATTGTAGTATCAGTACATTCAAGAAGCCGTGAAATGACTGAAATGTACACACTAACATTCCATAATTCTTCACAATTTAGGCCTTAAATGAGCAACAACATGACCAACTTGGGGTCACATGGAAGCAGATCCATGTTGTCACTGCCTTTCAAGTTCCTCTCGGGAACTTCCTCTTCTGGCATGAAACTGGTCTTGAAAACAGCCAACTGGTGCTGCTATTGGCTTCTTCCTAAGGCTTCTTGTAAAACATTGATGCTTGTGTGTGTGCATGTCTGCATGTATGTGTGTGTGTGTATGTGTGTATGTATGTGTGTGTGTGTGTGTGTGTGTGTGTGTGTGTGTGTGTGTGTGTGTGTGTGTGTGTGTGTGTGTGTGTGTGTGTGTGTGTGTGTGTGTGTGTGTGTGTGTGTAAATATGTTTGTATGTATATGTTTGTATGTATATGTGTGTATGTGTGTATGTGTGTGTATATGTATGTATGTATGTATGTATGTATGTATGTATGTATGTGTGTGTATATGTATGTATGTATGTATGTATGTATGTATGTATGTGTATATGTATGTATGTATGTGTATATGTATGTGTGTGTATATATATGTATGTATGTGTGTATATGGTTGTATGTATTTGTGTGTGTATATGGTTGTATGTATGTCTGTGTGTATATATGTATGTATGTATGTCTGTGTGTATATATGTATGTATGTATGTATGTATGTATGTATGTATGTATGTATGTATGTATGTATGTATATGTATATGTATATGTATATACATACACCTACATACACATACACATACATACATACATACATACACATACACATACACATACACATACACATACACATACACATACACATACACATACACATACACATACACATACACATACACATACACATACACATACACACACACACACACACACACACACATATATATAATTACCTAACAGTACTGGAGCATAGATTAATAAATATCAATATACTTCCTATTGCTGTACATAATGAGTGCCACAGTGATGATGTATTCATCATCTGGAAAGTCAATCTGACCGTCGCCCATACCACAATACTCCAGAGTCATCGAGAGAGTGCTAATACGACATATTATACACACTTGGAATCACAATGAGTTACTCTTTGTCTCATCCAGCCAGATTAACCTCCAGCCTGATAAACTTGCATGCTCTTGGTGGTTATATTGATTACTTACACTCTGCACCTGGTACTGTCTTCTAAATCTATCACAGACAAAACAGGCAGATTCTACAACAAACATGGCCTATGAGCTATATAACAATGTCCTTCAAATATCCAGATCTCTTTTGAATAACTCAACCTCTACCTTGCTCAAGAAAGGGAGACCTTGCCAAGAAAGTTTCAGTATTAATGATGGTTCATTAATGCTACCAAGCACCTTTGCTAGCCCTCACTTTACTCTTCAGACCATGGCAATTACTCTCATTTGTCCAAACCTAATTACAAACTTGGCAAATATGATCTATACATAAACAGCATATTTACTCAAGTTTTTTTTCCAGGCTGTTGTGGTGTGTAGAACCATTTTTGTCAAAACAGATATTCAAACTACTATGTCTTCTTAAAAATATTCTCCAACTCAATAGCATTTCTACCAACTAACTTCGCTCTTATTTTTACATGGCAATTACCTTTCAATATTGATGAACACATACAAAAATCACATAAATATATTTTTTTCATATTTTTAAAAGTTTTAATTCTTATCCAAATACAAATAAACATTTGTTTTCAATAATGGCAGAACCTTCTTTATTAAATTAAAATTGTGATAGGTATATATTAATAATTACTTACACATTACAATAACACAAATCAAATTGAGAGTTCAAGCAATTTCTCTGTAGATAACAATCTTCCAAAGAAGTAAATCTCAATAATAATTATACAGTAATCAGAACCTCACCACCATTTCCATAATAAACAACAGAGATTGAACAGATATGTACTTTCAATTATGGTTCACCTGCTACTGTGATGGTCAATAGGAAGCTACTTACATTACTGGACATTACATTCACATTCTGAAATATCATCTTAGTACCTCAACACAACTCTGAGATGATTGGCAGTTACTGTTTTCAGGTACTATTATTGGCTCTTTAACAGACATGTACATTTGTTCATACTTTGTTTGCTAACAGGTACAAAGGATTTTGCTGTAGATGCAGCAAACATTTTTTTTCCTATTGAGATGACAATTCAGAATATAAACTTATTATATGGACAAAGTCTGAGACAATGGGAACAATATGATACTATATTACAACCAGTTCTTGATTTAACAACAAAAGTATGTATGAAAAATTATTATGTGGACTCAATATCTCCGACCCTGTCATACAGTCCAAGTAGATTGCAATCTCTTGTACGTCAGCCTATTTATCACTTAGTACCTGGGGAAAAAAAAATTGTTAGACATCACTATTTTTCATATTTGAAAGAAAGTTACTATACTTCAATTTTTTTTTAATAAGTTTGTTAAGTCAACTTTATTGTTTCATCAAAATAACTACTCAGCACGATACTCATAAAACTAAAAAGTTCTACTGGAGTAATTCATACCTGTAGTAATTAGGCTTGAAAGGTCCAGCCTTGTTTAAGCCCATATACTTGGCCTGTTCATCGCTGAGCTCTGTGAGATGAGCATCAAATGTGGGAAGATGGAGGCTGGCTACATATTCATCTGAAAAATTGTAATAATGTATAGTCCCTTGCCATGATTGTAGGAATTCTGCACTTAAGACTGTACAAATGAAAAAAATGTCATGGAGTAAAAATGAACTGTTGTGCTATATTATGTAATATGATCAATATAGAATATTTCTATGTCCATTACCATGTACTGTCAAATAAGACATGGACATTACTGCTGATTATCAAAACTGATATTATAATTAACAGATTATTCCGAACTGTCTTTCCATCATCATCTTAACCCAATGCCACTGGAGAGGACTACTGTGAGTTAATCTCATTAACTGTCTTTACACATATATGACTCCACAAGTACTAAGTTCCCAATGAGCAATAATCAGTACTACCCATCTCTCACATATGCACCCTTTTGCTTGATTTTGGGAAATATTTTCTGGTATCTTATATTGCTGTTAGTAATATCAATAACATAACAATAATTATTATGTCTATAATAATAATAATAGTATATATATTGATAGCATTTGTAAAAAAAAAAAATGCTTGTGGATCTATGTGCAGAAACATTTCACAAAACAAAAATAAAGTGAACACTGCACTTTACTGGTGACAGTGAGTTAAATGATAAGTCAGAAATACTGTTCAATCTTTTCACATCACAACCAAGACCTTTTCTCCAAAGGAGATTGCAAACAGCCTTCTCCATCTTTTGTGACACACCAATAATTTATTCAATAACAATGTAATGTAGCAGAAGGGTAAATTACACTAAACAGTCAAGAGCATGAACTTACCCATCTTCTTGGGGAGAAGATAAACATCAGACTTGTAACGGCCAGCAGGAGCATTGAACAACTCAATCAAAGCCAGGGCCTGGAAGAAAATTAAATGATTAGAAAGAGAGCCTTTCAATGGATACAGGTTGGCAGGCAGACAGACACAAAAAAATGGATAACTAAATAGACAAATATCCTTAGAATGATATACTATTAGATAAGAAATCTGAGACTATATATTTAAAGAACCAAATCATACTGAAGTGAGTACCACTTCGTTTTCTACAATGTTTCAAAAGGACTGGACACATCCTGGATGTGTGTGCCCCCCCCCCCACCACACACACAAAAATAAAAATATCATCAGTAATAAAAACAACTTCATCACTCAGTACCCATTTCCGACATTTTTCTTACCTGAGTGCATGAGGTGATGGACACAACAAATGAGGGAACAGATGAGCAAGACAGGTTAACAAGCCTTCCTTCAGCCAAGAGGATGATTCTCTTGCCATCGGGCCACAGGATGTGATCAACCTGGGAACGCACCTTCTCCCAAGTCAGGTCTGGAGTTCGAAGGGAGTTCTGAAATAGCCCAGCTGTAAGTTAGTTTCTAGGGTTTGTCATTTGTATTTTTTGAAGGGAGTGCCTCTGCAACCTTTATGTGATTAAGCAATGAATGTATGTATTGCATGTATATACAGCAAGTCAGGACTGAATTCTCTGTGTACCTATTGTCTGTGACAAATTGTCTTTAAAGAATGTACACTGGTCTGTCTATCAGTCTTGTGGGTACCTTTGAAGGTGGGCAAGCTGTTTAGTCTGTAAAAACTTCTTCCTCACTTAATGAATATTTACTATCTTATTTTTTCCATAAAAAAGGTGGATTATATCCTCTCAACATGTTTCAGCTACTCAAGTCTTGGCTATGCATATTCATATTCTTCATTCTAGGTGAGCAATAAGTGTCATAAAGTAGAGAGCAAGGAAATACACCTGTAATCTATTCAATGTTTGAAATGTATAAATATTATTAAGCAAGGAGGAAGTGTTTATACATGTAATATATTTTTGTTAACACCATGACCATCATAATGTACAGGTATTAAATACTAGTGATGTTGAAATATCTCTGCAATAAAGATATATCTGTTTGGTATGGAAAGACAACATTCTTTGTCCAACAATTTCTTCATTCTGAAATTAGTACCATGCAAACCAGTTTACCATGCCACTTACATGTTACAAAATAGAATATACTTCTTAAACCATAATTGGTTTAACCTTATAAACCCTTGGATTATGCTGTAAATGTTTAAATTTGTTCACTGTTTGTGGAATTATATGGGTGAGTGTATCAATGTTACAAAAACAACGGGAAAAATCATTACTGATTCCGATTTCCTCTCTAAACGATTTTCGTGAACGAGTTCTGGTGTGTTGAGTGATCCCTGTAAAAATTGGCCAAAATGTCTTAGTTTTATAAATGTTGAAGTCTGTAGGATGAACATCAAGCACTTTGCTCACTGCTAATGTTCAGATAACCAGACTGCATTGTATTACTTGGCATAATGTTATCTGACCAAGGAGAGTTCCTGCAAACCAAATGTTTTTGTTACAGTGTTTAAAAAACATAAATATTGTGTAAACAACCAGAATTTTTTTTTCTGATAATTTACCTATTCTATCACTTATAAACAATTTTTGAAAAACTTTTCTTAACCCATTGCCGCCGGGGATGGCATGTACGTACATGCCATGCCCACTGTGAGTCGACTTGTTTGATTGTTTTTACACATAGATGGCTACACTTGTACTAAGTATCCAATGAGCCAATTACGAGTACTGCCTGTCTCGCCCATTCACCCTTTTCATCAATTTACAAAAATATTTAACGTTACCCTAATTTGCTGTTAAAAATAACATCATCTATATTTATAGCACTAGTAAGAATACGCTTTTTCCCGCCAATTCAAGGGAAGGTGAAATCAGGACTAGCAGAGCCATCTATGGACAGAGATATTTCACAAAAATATAAAAAAGGAGTACTGCATTTCCCCATTTTTTGTTCCTTTTCCCCAGCGGCAATGGGTTAACAACTATTTATAAAGAATATATACAAAGTATAACTATCAAAAATGCAATCTTCTATGGACATCATGGATAGGAAAATTCCAATATGCTCTGTCCTCTCAAGTACCTAAATAAAAAAAATGTTAGAGAAACCTACTTCTTGCCAACATTGCTCATAGTAAATGAGAATGACAATCTTCCACAGCAGCGTTTAAGTACCCTGGGATTAACTTGCACTACCTCTAGATGGCATGTATGTCCTGCCATGCTGAGAATGGTTTCTCCCTTCTCATGCCTTGATACATCTGATCCAGTTCCTTGTCTCTCAATACGATTAAACTTATGAACCTTCATTAATGCAATGGGTGACCATACTTATGAAACTATTATGAACCTGTAAACCTTGTAGGAATCCCTATTCTCCCTCAGTGTAGCTATCACATTCTGAGTAGAGATTGCAAATATGCTGCCTATACATATTTTTCTGATTTCATTCTCTCTTCAATTCATTTTACATTAAAATAAGAGACAAGTGATAAACTTTCTTTCCTTGAAACCACAGCTCTGACTGACTCCTATCTTTTGGTGAACATATACCTGACTTTACATGGCCTAGCATTCCCATCAGTTTGTTCCTCCAAAATTTCTGTATTAACCCATTGCTGACAGGCATGCCATGCCATGACCACTGTCCTTGTTTAATTGTTCTTACACTTAGATGGCTACACTTGTAATAAATCACCAATGAGCCAATTAGAAGTACTGCCTGTCTCGCCCGTTTACCCTCTTTTTTAATTTACAAAAATGTTTTACGTTATCCTATTTTGCTATTACTAATGTTCATAACATTATAGTAATTATAATGTTTATAATAAAAATAACACCATCAATATTCATAACACTAGTAAAAAATACATTTTCCTGCCAATCCAAGGAAAGGTGAAATCAGGTAAGGCTAAGCACTAGCAGTGCCATCTATGTGTAGAGACATTTCACAAAAAAATATAAAAAATGAGCACAGCATTTTCCCAATTTTTTATTCATTTTCCCTAGCAGCAATGGGTTAATACATTCTCAATCCCATGTATACCTGATATTTTTATTGCTCTCACTAAAAAACAGAAACTGATGCCAAAATTGCGGATTCAGTTTTCACAGAAACCAACTGGAAAATATATTGTGTATTTGTCATATAGGGAATGAAAATTTTAAAATGTAGATAAAGAAATGAAAGTCAAACATAAATGAATAAGAAATCCCCTTGAGTTTTACATATCCCTTTGAAAATAAAATTACAAGAAAATTAAAAGAAGATAATAATAAAGAACCCAGCACAAAAAAGAAGATTTAGGCTTTAGCCAGAATTCTGAGAAATTGCACTTGCACTGAGAAGCTTATCAACTGACAGACCCAGACAACAAATATTTTAATTGGATAATCTTTGATGATCATTACTTTGATGATCAGTGAATTTGTGCTAGGTTGTGAAGGAAAAGTGTCTGATATTCACTGCTCTGTGTTTGGAGAGAGTGAACAATGAAATAAAAAAGTATACGTATTGAACAATTTGGAAAAAAAAAAAAAAGAACACAGAAGGAAGAAAAGAACAGAGCAAATACAAGAGTACGGATTCCATAAACATGGAATTATGATGTAGAGAAAAGATTGGGGCTGCTTAATACCTTCTTCTTGATGATTTTAAAGGTTGATGAATTAATTTTCTAGATCCTGCTTGAACTATAATACATTAAATATTGCATTTAATCATCATCTCTAAACACACAAGACAATGACCACCTGTAGGACTTTCTGCACCACCTGTTTTTCAGTCTAAGCATTAATCCCTTTGCAGTAAGACATGCACAGCAAAATACAATGAGATATTGATATTTACATACATATATACATGCCATGATATAAAAGTCTTCATAAAATGGTGAGAAACTGTACTTCTTGTTTAATAGTAATGGCATTACTATTAAACATTAAGTAAAATAACAAACAATCTAGTATTTAGCTTAGCTGATAAATTATTTCTCCAGCAATTAATGTTGGAGCAATTAGACTTATTACTGCAACACATCACATTTAACATCAGAGGTAACGTACAAAACTTCACATAACAGATGGAAACCAATTTGAATAAAGCTTGCATATTTCATGGAAATCAATTTGAGTAAAGCTTATTTCACTGTGTAACTGACAGACTGACAATCAGAGAGTACTACAAAAATCTACCTTTTTAAGACTTAAAAATCTGATGAAATAAGCAAATATTATGAACATAGTTTCAACTTTGACACCTATCAACTATAACTCCTATCCCACACTCGGATCTGCAGAAAAATTAATGCCAACTAATTAAAAGCTATATTTACACATCGCAATTCCCTACCAAGTATAGAATGCACCCAATTCAATAAGCGTTAAATAAGCAAGCCAGGTAATAAGACACTGCAAACTAATCAGATGGTCACTCAAGCATGAATAGCAGCCCCAACAAAAGGGGAAAACATTCTTTAAACTGGATATAGAAAATGTTAAGAAACTTATGACAGTGTTGTGAAGGAAACAGAAAGAAAGGGAATGAAAGAAAGCATAAAACCAAAAAAAAATTAATAAACGCTTACTGCAGCTACTATACCTACAAAACAAACAAAATGGAAATATCAATACGTAATGAATATAAAAAGCATCATGAAGCTATTATCCAAAGGAAAACAAAGCAGCATTTGACAATCTAATCCCCACTGAAGAAATTACTTTAAGGAAAGAAACATCGCTGAATATAAAACCTACCACATCAATCTCTGTATTAGAATGACCCATGTTGCAAACGATGGCTCCATTCTTCATTTTGTCCATGTGGTCCCGAGTCACTACATTCTTGTTGCCTGTTGCAGTCACCAGGATGTCGACCTGGCGGATCACTTCAGACAGCTTCACGACGCGGAAACCATCCATGCTGTAGACAGGAGTAATTTGCATAATCTTTTTATATTTAATACAATTTACCGGAGTCTAATTTCTATCCCCCCAAAAATCTATTTTGATAAATAATAACAAGGTAATCAAAAATTTTATTCTTGTAGATGGTTGACTATTGTTAATAATTAACAAAACCTTTTTCCTTCTTAGGTTTATTTCTGTGTATGTGTATGTGTGAGTGTGAGTGTGAGTGTGAGTGTGAGTGTGAGTGTGAGTGTGAGTGTGAGTGTGAGTGTGAGTGTGAGTGTGAGTGAGAGTGAGAGTGAGAGTGAGAGTGAGAGTGAGAGTGAGAGTGAGAGTGAGAGAGAGAGAGAGAGAGAGAGAGAGTGTGTGTGTGTGTGTGTGTGTGTGTGTGTGTGTGTGTGTGTGTGTGTGTGTGTGTGTGTGTGTCTGTGTTGTGTGTGTGTGTGTGTGTGTGTGTGTGTGTGTGTGTGTGTGTGTGTGTGTGTGTGTGTGTGTGTGTGTGTGTGTGTGTGTGTGTCTATATTTATTTGATTGATTGTTTGTTTGTTTTTATATGTATTTATGTATGTATGTATGTATGTATGTATGTATGTATGTATGTATGTATGTATGTATGTATGTATGTATGTATGTATGTATGTATGTATGTATGTATGTACGTACGTACGTACATATGCATGGCTACATACATACATATACTGATTAACTGAATACCTATCCACCCAATAAGATTCATTACACAGAAACCATTAGGACCCCACGTTTCTCAAGGAGCACCTACCATCCCTGGAGGGCGCACACAGGATCAATTTCTGTGACGTAGACAGTGCAGCCGAGACCCTTAAGGGCTTGGCAGCAGCCCTTTCCAACTTCTCCATAGCCACAGACAACCACTTGCTTGCCGCCAAACATCACATCAGTGGCACGCTTCAAGCTGTTGAAAAAAGACAAGCAATGAGTCTGTTGGTTATCACATCGAATTTCAAACTAATTTTTGTTTTCTTCATGAACTGACTTCCTCTTCTTATGAAACTATTACTTGTCTGAGAGATCATACTTCTCATGCTATTTCATAGACTCGAAATAAAATATGTTTTTTTCTACATATATCCTTTCCTAACTCCACAAATTTCAAACTCTACAATAATTTTGATCTCTTAAACAGTAAGATTTTTTTTACTAGAGTATTTTTTTCAAATCCATGAAACAAAGCAAATACCTATGAAATTTCATTATTTCAATGAATACTAATACAAATACTACATTTAATCTATAGATTATCAGGTTATGCATCTGTACTATTAGTCATTCTCTATCAATATTATGAAGTCATTCATCTGATAATTTACCCAAGTTAGCAGGTATGAATCATCCACCAACATATTTTCAATGATTTTCACACAGTCATGGCTCACTTGCAATTTCCAATTTACCTGTCAATGATTGATTCCCTACAAGAGTAAAGGTTATCAAACATGGTCTTGGTGACTGAGTCATTAACATTCATGGCTGGCACTGTCAGTTTCCCTGCCTTGCTGAGCTGGTACAGCCGATGAACACCAGTCACACTCTCCTCACAGATACCTGGAAAGGCATAAAAAAAATATATAACAACTATCATCTGATTAGAATATACAGTAAATCACAAGTACATTACAAACTCTGAATTAAAAAACAGTAATAATGATAAGAATCAGTACCTAATGCAATAATATCATCCCAAGGAAAGATATCTTACCCTTGATCATCTTGAACATGGCCGGGTACTTCTTGAGCATAAGGTGAGTTGCATCTCCGCCATCATCCAAGATCATGTTTGGCTGCCAGTTCTCGGCATTGATGCATTTGTCGATGCACCACCAGAAGTCCTCCTCACTCTCCCCACGCCAGGCAAAGACAGGATGGCCTGTGAGAATGTGAATGACTCCTTGAAAAATCTTATCTTTCAACACTAATTAATAAACTTAAGGATTTATAAAGTATGGCAAGAAACAGATATATCACAAGTCAACTTTAAACTGGATAATTATGAAATATCTAACAAAAGGAAATTCACCTAAAAACAGTAAATGGAAACCATACAATTATGAGAGTTTCAGTATAAACTTTTACATACAAATACATATTCCAATCTAACCATGGAAAAATGTTCCCTAATAAATAAACATTAGAACCTACACATCATCAATAAGCAGAATATGTCCTTAAGAAGATAAACATATCTATTTTACACAGAATAATATACATGAGCTAAAGAAAAAAAGAAATGATTGTAAATCTCACCTGCTTCGGCTAAGGCTGCAGCCACTTCATTCTGAGTGGAGAAAATGTTGCACGCCGACCACCGCACAGTGGCTCCAAGCTCCACCAGCGTCTCAATCAGGACCTAAAAGCAATATTGGATTTTATAATGATGCCACGGCATGCTAGCAGCAAATGCAAAGCAATAAAGAGACTGATAAATCTAAGATCTTTACTTGATGATCAAATGTGATAACAATAACCAATCAAACTCTAATTAGTATTTTTTAAAATCTAATAAATCATTATCTGATAACAATTCCATGTCAAGATTTTAAAAACACCTAACAGAAAAAATAATAACTCAAAGGAATGACAGTGATCAACTACAAAATTATGCTAATTGGACAGCAAAATAATCACACAAGTATTCTAAAAGCCAGCTACTAATTAATTTATCAAATATTCATCAAGTGCACTATAAACATGCTACCCTAAAGGTTATCAATGTTTTATTTATATACTCTTCCATATGTGTGTGTGTGTGTGTGTGTGTGTGTGTGTGTGTGTGTGTGTGTGTGAGTGTGAGTGTGAGTGTGAGTGTGAGTGTGAGTGAGTGAGTGAGTGAGTGAGTGAGTGAGTGAGTGAGTGAGTGAGTGGGTGGGTGGGTGGGTGGGTGGGTGGGTGGGTGGGTGGGTGGGTGGGTGGGTGGGTGGGTGGGTGGGTGAGTGAGTGAGTGAGTGAGTGAGTGAGTGAGTGAGTGGGTGAGTGAGTGGGTGAGTGAGTGGGTGGGTGAGTGAGTGAGT